GATACTCGGACGCGAAACCAGCCCTCATTGCCTCTGAGGACGTTAAAGGGGTGCCTTACGTGTGTACTTAACCTATCATCTATTTTGCCCTCTAATTTATATTAAGCTATTTCATCAAATAAGGTATTCTTTGCTGAAACGAACAAATATTATATTTTGCACACATCCACAAACCGGCTTATACAGCTTTACAAACTCCACATCAGAAACCTGTTCGGCAATCAAATTATCAAGCTCTTTTAAACTAGAATTTACACAATGCAGTTTTAAGTTTAACGAGAGACAGAGAAAATGATACTTAAATTGTTTGCGGAGAGAAAATCTACTGATACCTTGTATGACGGATGAGTTATCTTTCAGGAAGAAATCTTGCAGATAAAGGCTAATAAACGACTCCAAGCAAGAATATGCGCGTGCTGCAAACAGTTCACTTGAAATCAATGATTTGGATTACAGATACACTGCCTCAGAAATCTTTATGGGTTCCAAATTAGTGACCTACCGCACCAAGATAACTTTTCAATGCAAGAAAAATTTTTAACGGAAAAATGCTATAAGCGTTTGTGAAAAACAGTTTGCTGAACTTACCCAAGCGGTCGAAGTTGAGGACAAGAAAGGGTGCGGTGAGGGAGTCCAGGCCCTGCCAATAGACATAATCTTTGTGCAGGAGAAGCCAAGCTTTTAAAAGACGTTTAAGTTTGAGGTGTGCAGCCGGCGATATCATCAGCTCATCATACTGCAACAGGTGAAATGAAATGAGCAAAACAGTCAGTGAAATCCTGACGATTATTTACAGCAAAAAAAAAAAAGAAATTATAAGTGGCCAATGTGAAAGCATGTTCAAGACTAGTAGCAACATATTCGGATGTTTCGGCAAAGCTAAGAAACAGGGATTTTTTTCAAGATGTCCTTGTGCATGGAAAATATACCACAAATGGTGTGATTGCAAATCTTCCCTGATGTAGCTTGCAGAATCATCAAAAATCGTTCATTTTTTTTTTTTTCTAAAACTATTCGCAAAATAGATATGTCACTAACAAGCACATAAACAGGTATATACAACTACCCTAATCGGTGAGGTTCAAAATCACGGGAGTATCATAATTATGGGTGGTATCGTTTTTTTGAAACAAGGTGACAGTGTTTAAAATGCCAAGGACATCTTGAAATGATTAAAAAAACCTCGTCTGCTGACTGACCACATCAGACAACGCAGCGTTGATCAAGCCGACTGTGAAGTGGAAAAATTGTTAGCTGCACGGGTGCAGAACTGTTCCACGTATGTGTATATGTACGTATAAACTGTCATTCAGCTCTCGAAAGAGCTTGCGAGTACCAGGGGCTCATGCGTGGCGGAGATGTAATAGCGGATGACCCAGGTAGAGAAGCGGGAGAAATGGCTGGAACAAAAAACTTGCAAAGCTCGAAAAAAGAATAAAACCCTATTACTCAACACGAAGACACCAGAAGGACACAAATGAAAAAATGAGTCCACGATTTTCGCAGAAAAAAATTCAAAAAATTTTTGATCCAACGCAGTTTCGCGAGCAAACTTCATTTTATAGAGGGTGGTTTGTAAGATACTAATTCCAAGCACTCAAACACCGTAGCAGCATAGCCCCGTAAAAGTTTTGGTGGGAAAATTGCTAACTCGGGAACCAGAAAAGTTTTCAGGTATATGCACAAGAAGCAGCAAATACTAGCAATGTGAGGAACCTGGTGACAACGCGGAATGTCGACCAACAACTGGCGATCAGAGAGATGCGGAGAAAGTGTATCCACCGAGATGAAACGCTCTTCACTACGGCGATGACCATTCAGTAAGGCACTCCACAGATGAGCTCTGTACAGTGGAGGAATATCCAGGCAACATTCGTCAAACAGCAGAGACTTTTTGAATGGATAACTCAGCAACAAACGACGCAGCAAAAGCATTCTTCGTGCCTAGAAGCTGAAATTCTGCCCAGAAAGAAAAAAACAATCGATTCAATCCATGAAAAAACTCAGGAAATGCAGGCCTAAAAAAGGTTAAGAATACCTGGTACTCGATGTCTTTCTCCTTCACAATCAGTGATAAACTGTAGTTTTCTTGCCTCTTTTCCTCCATCTCAAGCGTGATAAGAAAAAGACTCTTATTTACCGACCTCATTCGCTGAAACGATGTTATGCACTGCGCAAAGTTATGATAATAATGTATGTAGTTCAGTTGGCAGTTATTATTATTTATTTGATTCTGTATCACTTACATCGCGCAAATTATTTGACGGAAGAATGAAAACATCAAATGTGGAACCGTACTTTCGCATATCTGCATTACCGTACATATAGCAATCGCCAGCTACTAATCTAAAAAAAA